AATTTAGTTGGGAAGTAACCCGAGGCCAGGCAAGCTTTCATTGTGGTTCTCAGTCTCTCCATGGCCGGGTTGTTAATGTAGCTGAGGATCTCCTTGGTGATGCCTGAATAACCAGGGGCATTATTTTTGGTATTGGAGATGGCTGTGTTGAGTTCTTCCGAGGTGATTGGTTTGGACAGTGGGCTGTCCACTCTTAGATCCTCCCATATGATTTCAGGGGAAGGCTGAGTGCGGTGTGTCTGGCCCCGGAGTTCATCAAGGACGAGCTCCTCGTGGGTACCATCAAATCCCCTATTATCTCCATTTGTGATTCAGAAGATGTTCCTTCATATGTCCCTGAATATGGTTGTTTGTCTTGGTCGTCATATATTTTACTTCCTGCGTGGTCAGTTATATATGATGACTCGTTACGGCTGCAACCTTTCAGTTTCTTAACTCGACGCCAGAACTCTCCTGGATCGTTGTACGTATGTGAGAGTTGTTCAACTATTTCGGCCCATTTAAGGTTGCTTTGTTCCAGAGATCTTGTTTTTATTTCCTCCCAATCATGGGTCTCGGCTGGTCCCCTCTCTGAGGGGAGTGGGTTCTTGTAGGGCTTGGGGAGGGGGGCCTGGGGGGCTGGTACAGAGGGTGGGTCAGAGGGTGGGTGTCCGTCCAGTGTCCACTTGCCCACGAGTCCCTCACAACAAGGGTTTTATGGCTGAACGTGTGTTTCTCATGTTTCCTGGCTTCTTTAAACTTGTCCATTTGCTGTTGGCGGGCTTTAATCGTACCTGGGCAAAGGTCCTCGTTGACGAAGACAGCAGTGTCTTTCAGCTTACTGCGTTGGTGGAAGACTTTGTCACGGACAGAGGGAGAAGACAACTTTGTTATGATGTCGCGGGGGCGGGAGGAGTTGGGTTTCCCGACGCGTTGAACACGGTCAAACTTGACTTCAGTAAGATTAAAATGTTCATCAGCAGGCGTGAAATTTTGTGCTGGGATGACTCCCAGTTCTCGTGGGGATCTTCGGCGACTCCGGCAAACCTGAGGTTGCTTCGCCGCCCTATGTCGTCTACATAATCCACCCGGTCTGCTGTTGTCGTTAGTTCTGTTTTAAACTTGGAGTTCTTCTCGCTCTTCTGATGAACTTGGGTCCTGAGTGCTCTGTTCTCTTTTGCTTCAATGTTCAACTTTGCTTTTAAGTCGCTTATTTCCCCTTGCGAGAATTCCAAACTTCTTGTAATCTCACTTCGCTGGTCAGTGAGACGCCAGTCAGCTTCCTTTAGTTTCCCGATGGTCTCCTTATTCATTTGTTCTATGATGCCCTGTATTAGAGTCCGTTGGACTTCCATTATCACTTCAGCCAGTGCTGTTTCATGAGATTTGAATTTTTGACACAAGCAGCCAACTTACATATATCGGAGCTCGTGAGAGGAGTGTAAGCTGGCAGTAGTAGTAGTAGTAGTTAAAATTAATTATGTTTCTTTGGGGTTAAGGTGTGAGAAATACTTATTATCCCTCACCACATTGAGCCCAAACATGAGTGACACACCTGTCCTTCTGATCTCATTGTTCGTGTTGACATTTTGTGTTGGGATATCTGACCTGTCAACCTTCCCTGTTGACCTTACCGGCAACCAGTGACTCCCACTGGGCTGCCAATACGACACTCAGGGCTGGTGACAGAACTCATAGCTGCCATCGCGACGGTCACGGATGCCAATAAAATAGTCAGGGATGTTATTACATAATGCTGCCAATACAACAACTCCTTCAGGGTTACCAGCACAAAAATACAGCAATATCCGCAGTACTACCAGCACAACAGTTCACTACAGCCGGTCATATCACACACACACACACACACACACACACACACACACACACACACACGACCTGTATATCCGTTGCTTTAATTAAGATGATGATATCAATGATGGTCTTCTTTTTTTCTTTTTTATCCCAAACAAGTTACTTTGCAGAATTGTCTCTCGCGAGGACAAGTGAGATATCTCGTCTCTCTCATAGCTGGGGGAGAGGCACTGGCACCCTCATTACTGGCACTCTGAACATGGAATGACACGTGGAGGAGGAGGAGGAGGAGGAGGTGAGACGGCACGGAGCTATGGGTGTGTGCCGGGGAAATGCTTTTATTGTGATCCAAATGTCGCGTCTTTAACTGTGCGACTGAGCCTCCCTATGTTCTCCGGTCAACAATACGGGTAACTGAATTGAATTGAATTGAAACAGTTTATTTAGTCTGAAAATCACAGATACAGAGTGGATAATACTAACTATATTAACATGGCTGAGCCAGTTGAGAACCTGAGCTCCCCTGTAGGCACCTGATATATACTGTACATTTATCTCAAGGAAGTATTATGTAACATTAAGTAACACCTGGAATAGTAAACATAGCATGCTCTTGCCATGCCATAAATCAGTCCAATAAACATTTCTTCGTTTAATAAGAGATGTGCTAAAACCAGCCTCACCAGAACAAACTTTCTCGTACTAAATATACTCTTGACCTTCCTAAGACCCTTCGCCGGCTCTCAAGCACTCTAAGCCAGGAAGTTTGGTTTCGATCGGTCAAGTCGTCTAGGAGGAAGGGGAAGAGGAGAAGGAGGAGGTGAAGTTCACGGAATGAGAAGCAGAGAAGACGGTGAAGATATAATAGCGAGGAAATTATTATTTGGTTGTTGTATCAAAGCCTGTGGAAGCCTTGTTGAGCCGGAAGGTATCTTGTCTTGTGAGGCAGAGAGATGCTCCGCTTGGTCTTAACTGATGTACCGCCGGGAGATGTAGAGACGCTGGTCCTGCTTGTTTGTGTTCCCTGCTGAATTACCCCCCTTTTTGGTCTAGTCAAAGCCAAACACGAATGTTCTTTGTGTGAACTCAATGGTGAATTAGTTCATCAGTCATATAGGCAAGGTTGGTCTTTGTGTGAGTTAAACTGCAAACATACTTAAAATTTTTTTGTTCATTTAAGATCTTGACATACTTTCTTTTATCTTCTCAACAACTAAAAGCGATTGGGTACATCCTAGAGAACTGACTCGAAGCTTTATAAATCAATGTAAAGGCCGAGATTTACCTCGTATGTTGGGTAGCTACGTCAAGGACCAGTGGTGCATGTTTCCCCACTCTCTGGTAGATGGACACGACAGCCTCTCCCTCTCTGTAATGAACAACATTTGAGTTTGATGGATAATCCCCAAAAGATATATTAATTTTTTTTTAGTTAATGAAAATAAAGACCACAATGACTCATTGCATATGTGCTGTGACGCGTGGTTCAGTGGTGTGTGTGTGTGTGTGTGTGTGTAATAATAATCATAATAATAATAATAATAATAATAATAATAATTGAAAATATTGAAAAAGTTCTGCAGCCCGAAGGCTGAAAATATACACTGGACAAAAATTACTTATTACATACAAAGACATGGGGTGGGTGGGTCGTTTAGCAAAAGCTTTCATTACTGAAAGAAGAAGGAACATGAATTGAACATGCAAATTATTATAGTTTACAGTTGATGGCCTGGGCCTGGACTGGTCATGGAGACACCAGGTGGTGTGGTGTTCACGTGGTGTAATAACTCGTCCTTGGGTGTTGATATGAAGGACCTCACGTGGTCATTGGGTGTGTGTGTGTGTGTGTGTGTGGTCAGGGGTTCATGGTTGTCATGACATACTCAGCAAAAGAGACAGACAGACAAACAAATAGACAAACAGACAAATAGACAGACAGACAGAGAATAAAAACTCGTAAATAATCATGAGAAAAACTACTAATATTGACAAGAGCTTCTAGCACAACTTTAAAGATAAGGTGACCGAGAATTCATTTGTATGCCATTGACTGTAATGAACTGCACTCGTAAGGAGTTTCTCTCCGCGAAAAACATCGCCACTTAGGGCAGTAAAGGCAGGGGGTGAGGCGGTCTGAGTTTATGCAACCAAAAGAATGAGTAGAAAAAAGAGAAAAAAATAAGGGTAAATAACAAAGGAAAAAAGTAATATGAAAATCCTTACTAGTGGTGGTGGCTAATGGGAGAACCTCAGACGGGTTCGGTTTCTGGCCATCATTTTTCCCCTACCCCTCTCCCCCATCCCTCTCCATCCCCGCCCCCAACCAACTCCTTGGGGAAAAAAATGACCCTAGGAACAATGCATGAAATCTATACTACATGCAAGCCTGGGGAACGAGCGGCGCCCGTACCTGCAACTCTTTCCTCGTTAGCTGTGAGAAATCCGAGCGTTCCTTTGTTGTGATGGTTGCACTACATACGCCAGCCAGCTCCATGACTTGGGCTAGAACTACAACTACAACAACAACAACAATAACAACAACTTTAGGATTTTTTTTTAATTTAAAGAGATTTTTGTCCCCCCTCGCCACCCTCTCTCTTCCCCAGCTTAGCGTTCCCGAGTCAGTACTCCGGCTACGACGAGTTTATGAGTGTTGGATCACGTTATACCGTCACTAGCAGGTTCTCTGTGTGACTATTCTCTCTCTCTCTCTTCTTTCCGCTTTCCATTCTACCTTTCCTCCCATTACCTCATTCTCCATCTTCCATATCATCTCTACAATCTACTCTTCCATCTTCTTCTCTTCCCTCCTTTTGGCATCATTTATTTTCTTCTCTCTCTCTCTCTTATTCTCTCTTCCTTCTCTTACCCTTCCCTTTTTCCTCTTTTCCTTATTGTCCGCTCTTTTTTGTTTAGTTTTTAAACAGTAGATTGATTACATGGGGACCACTGACAAGGTTCTAGCCTAATCATATGATAACTGGTTTAAAGGATAACTTGGGTAAAAACTAACCTTTCTGAAAACCTTCCCCAGGATTGTTAAAATAAATTATCATAAAGTACATAGTTCAGGACATTGGATTAATTAAAGCCACTAAAAATATAATAATGTAGACATAGGAAATAATATTAAAAAAAAATACATAGTAATACACAGTCAAAATTTTAGACCTCAAGTGACGTGCTGTGGCCAGACGAGTAAGTCAGGTGCATAGAAGAATTAGCGGAGTTGGGAGTGTCGCTCGCCATCTATGAGCTGCCATCTTGGCCTGTTGGGTAGTCATCTTCCCGACATCCGGTATGGCCGCCGTGAAGATATTCCTCAGTCGTGAAACTCTGGCCATGAAGGTCCTCTGATGCTGACTGGCTCGTGGCCTTGGCACTTCCACCAGCTGGACGCTCGACGGCACCGTTCTAGTGCTCCTCTGCGCAGTTCGTAGGGGTAACATGAGTCCCGCCAGGTGATGCACCTCTTGGACCTGGGCCTTGGGGAACACAGTCAGTACGGCCACATCTCTCCGGTGCTCCAGAGAGTCCACGGTGGTGACGATGTCATGGGGAGGGTGTGAGGCAGAATCCATCAGTCGTAGGGCTCGTCTCTGTATCTTGTCCAGTTTTCCAATGTAGGAAGGAGCGCTGGACATCCACAACAGGGATGAGTACTCTAAATAAGGTCTTATCTGAGCCTTATTGAGCGTCAGGATCCCACTGTGGTCAAGGAAACTACTCAACCTTCTCAGGGCAGAGACTCTGGGTGAGGCCTTGCTGGCGCAGTTGTTGAGGTGTTTGTCGAACCTCAGATGTTTGTCAAAGTCCACTCCGAGGATTACCATGAAATCCAGGAGTGGCAGAGGCACCCTCCCCTCCCCCACCCATCCAATAGGATTTTATCCTCCACGGCGTGGGCGGCCGCCGGGGAGCGGGATATCACCATCGCTTGTGTTTTCTGAGGGGCTAAATTTACCTGCCAACGTATACCACATCCACGGATCAGCTCCAGCTGCTGGTTTATTCTGTAGACTACTCGCTGGCTATCATGGCGGGCATAAGATCACGATAGGGTGCAGTCATCAGCGTAGGCTGACACCACTGGCATATGTTGTAGGAGGTCGTCAATATATACATTCCATAAAATCTGTCTCAGAACAGATCCCTGAGGTACTGACACCTCTATTGGAAAGTCTCGGGAGGTCTGACCGTTGACAACAATCTGAGGGTCCTCCCTCGTGAGTAGTCTACTAGAAGCAGGAGGAGGTTCCCCTCGATTCCCTTCGCTCGAAGCTTCTCCGGGAGGCCCTTGTGCCACACCCGGTCGAAGGCCCCCGCTATGTCAAGGGCGATCATGAGGATGTCCAGACCAACTGTCCAGCGCATCCTACCAGTCTCCGGAGAGGAGCAGCAGCAGGTCCGAGGTGAATCGAGATGATCTGAAACCAAGCTGCCGGTTAGACAGCAGTTTCTGGTGGTCAATGTGGCGACACACTTCCTCCGCGACTAGCTTCTCAAATATCTTGCTGACCACAGATAACAGTGATATAGGACGGTAGTTTCCTGGGTCCGACTTCGACTGCTTTTTATGGACAAGTGCCACTCTGGCCTGCTTCCACACGGTGGACCACGTGTTTTCCACCAGGGACAGTCGAAAGAGGACCAGCTTGCTCGTAGGCACAATGTCTTAAGACATAAGGGATGATGTCGTCAGGGCCAACTGCTTTTTTAACATTGACTTTTCGAAGTAGACGTTTGACTTTCCTGAGTTACCGCCACCGTGGTCAGTTGTTCCTCACACTCTAGTTGTAGAAGTGGCGGGATTCTATTGGGTTCATGGAAAGTCTTTTTAAGTTTTCCCAGCAGCTCCGCCTTGTCCATGCTGCTGGTAGCTAAAGTTCCGTTCGGTTTGGTGAGAGGAACAATTGACTCCTGTTGGTTAATCCCCTGGTTCTCCTTCATCAGCACCCACCACATCTTGGAGCCTACCCCCGCACTAGTCAGCTTACGACGCGTATCAGCCCACTTACTGGTGGCAACCATATACCTACAGGCCGCTCGGTGCACGTATTTGTTGTCGGGTCGGGTTCCTTTTATTCCTCATCCACGCCGTATACTTGGCCTCTGCAGCAAATCGACAACGGTAACTAAACCAGGGCTGGTCAAATGGTATGAGTGGAGGCCTCATCACGCGCCACACCCAACATCACTTGAGATAGGACCGCGTAGTAGTCTGAACTACCTACCTGTCCCAGCTGGTGGCATCGAACAGAATCATCCTGCATATCAGAGATGGCGGGGTCCAGCATCCCTCTGTGTATGTGGGTGGGAAAATATAAGTCAGCCACCAGACCCTGTACCGCCAGGAGGTTGTCATAAGAGTCCTGGACGAGATAATAATTCAAGTCCCCCGCGATTATGACGTGATGACAGTTGTGCCGGGTAAGGAGGTCATTCAGGTGCTCCGTCAGAAAGTCGAGGGGTGCGCGTCCTTGCCCTTGGGGGGCGATAAAGACCGAAGAGCAGGAGAGCAGCGCCACCGGCGAGGACAACGTGAAAGAAAATTTCTTTCATCCACGCTGGAATGTCAGCTTGCAGGACCTGCACCTGAAGTGCTACCTTGAAACAGACAGCCACACCTCCACCTGCCATCCTTTGACGATCTCTCCTGACCCTCTGGCTGTAACCCGCCGTTTTTCCGAATGTGGGCTCCATGCAGCGTTCAGCAGCGTCTCCGTAGCTACAATGATGTCCGCATTGTTCTTTAGGGCAAAATTGTGCATGAGATCGCCAATGTTGGTCTGTCTGGAGGCCCCTTACGTTGACCGAGAGGAGCACTAAATGGTTCCAGCGGGGGTGACCATGGTGAGGTGGGCGAATGGCCCTGGGTAGGGCCATAATGTGGGGAGACCTGCTGGGGACAGGGGCGGGGGCACAACCGCGCTGTGAGCTTGGGAAATAGTTTGAGATGGAGTGAAGTCCTGAGGCCAGGTCGGGGTCAGCGATGCCCAGTAGGGGGACGTCCACCCAGGAGAGTGTCCCCAGTAAGGAAATTGTGGGTGGATCAGGCCAGGTGTGGAGTGCTTTGGAGCTGGTTGTCGTACCTCAGTTATGAGCCTGTTGAGCTTATTAAGGTTAGCTTCAAGGAGCCGTGTTCTCTCCTCATGGGCTTTCCTGCGGCAGGTGTTCCTCGTGTGACCCTTGCGGGAACAGATATCACACCAGGGTATCCCTTCATAGCTCTCAGTTGTGTGTCCTGGGTAACCACAGGAGGTCCAGCGGGCCGTTTCCACTCTTCTTCTCTCTGGGTTGTTGGTAAGTAGAATGTGGTGGAAGGGGGCACTTGGATGTGAAGTGGTCGTGTTAGCAGACAGACGGCGATGAGTGGTAAACTGCCTGCTGGAGGAGGAGGGAACATGTGTTTGCGTGGAAGTCGTGGGAGCAGACTGGCCCTGGGGAGGTCTGGGGCGAGTGACGGGTAGGCCACGCGTGGGTTGTGGTATATTAGGGGGAGGTTGTGCTGCACAGTCTCTAGCAGCGTAATCTTCTATTCACCGCTCCAAGTTTCGAGGTGTCCCATCAAGTCTTCAAAATAGGGGATAGTTGAGTCGTTTCCTCGTAGCTTGTGTCTGATGATTTTCCTTCTCCTCCCCCTCACATCTTCCCCCTCCCGTCCTTCCTCCCCCTTCTTTCCCCTCTCATCTTATTTTATATCATTTCCTGTCTTTACTACCCCTCCCCCTCCCTTTTCCTCTCCTTCTCATCCCTCCTCCTACCCCTCCCTCCTTTCGTATCCCTCCTTCTCCCCTTTCCCTTCCTTTCTCCTCTCCTCTCCTCGCCTTTTCGCCTTCATTTTTCCCATCCATTTCCTCTCCCATGCTCCTCCTCCTCCTCTCCCACCCCCTCCTTCCTCTCTGCCATCCTCCTCCTCTCTCGTTCAACAGTAATCTGTGGTTGGCCGTGGATGTTGAGAGATAATGTCAGTAATAGGTCTGTTACCGCCATCATGCCGGTCCCCAACGACATATCTATTTGCCCGCCAATTAATACCCGGGAACAGTTGACCATAACTCGTGTCCTCAGCTGGCTAATTCCGCGGCCGTTGATACCTGTCGGGCCGGAGAGGGGATCTATGCCAGACATCCAAGTGCGGTAGGTGTGTGCACACCGTGGAAGGAGGTTGTCTATATGGCGGTAGACACGTGCACACAAGAGGGAAACTGTGCACAATGGTAAATACGTGCACACAGAGCAGGGAGACAGGTGCACGGCGGTAAAAACGTGCAGACACAGGAGGGAGACTGAGATAGAGAGAAGGGGACGTGAAGGTCACGGCACGTGTAAGGAAAAAACTTAAGATGGGAGGATAAATGATAATGAAACAAGAAGGAACCAAAACTAACCTAACCAAACCAAATCTAGTTTAATCTAACTCTAAGTAATCTAAGCATTAAATCGAACATCACCTAAACTAAACTTATAACTTTTAATTTTAACTTGCCTAATTTAGGCGGATGTTAATTTAACTCTGACTTATTCTAACCTCACTTAACAAATCTAAACTAATTTACCTTAAATCAGACTAACTTAAATTTAAATCTAACTTAATCCTCCCCTCCACGAAATATGACGTTGACGAGTTCCATAACAATTTAAATAACGAGTTACTTAATGCACAAAGGCGGAACATACCATACAGAAAACTCAGATCAAATAACAATGACCCTAAATGGATAAATAATTATTTAAAGAATATTATTGGACAAAGGAAGACTATAGGTAGAAGAATAATTCGTGGTGACGCTTACCTCCTACACTATTTTGAGGTATTGGCCAGTAGGGTTAAGACAGAAACAAGAAAATCAAAGAGGAATAATGAACTGAAGGGATTCTTCCAAATGCATCAGACTAAAACACGAGACAAGATTGGACCAATACTTCTCAACAAAGACAAAATAGCCATATTTACCCAGAGGAAAGGTTACGGTAGATTTAGGTCCCGGGGCTTAACTGACAGTGCAATCATATCTAGTATTAGTTGTGAACAGTTCTGTGCCTCTATGAAGACTGAGCTAGAGAGGGTCAAGGGCGAAAACTTGAGGCTGAAGAAAGTTATAGCGAGGATGTATTTTTTTTTATTGGGCACTCTCCCCCACCCCCTCCCCTACATCCTTGTGTAAGGTGAAGCGCAGAAGCGTTTACAGCGCCCAACAGGGAAGCATGCTAAGTTCATGCTTGCCTTATGTCTCATGAGTTAAGGGCGTAGAAGCCTGAAGAGTCAAGGACGTTGAAGCCGGAAGAGTCAATGGTTTGTCTAAGCAATTTATTGGAAGCTCCAACAACTTGTCCCTGAATACGAATTCGCAACTTTCGATTTACAGCAGGTACCTACTTTGCTGCTAGGTGAACAGGGAAGAAGGGGACTAGGAAGAGTGTCCAAACAACTTCCGCCGGCCCGGGAATCAAACCCGTGACATCTTGCTTGCGAGGCAAGAGCGGTACCGCTCTACCGCCCCGATAGCGAGGATGAACGAGGAAGATACGAGACTGTGTCTGACGACAACACAGATCAGTGGAAGGTAGTAAGGAGAGAAACAACAAAACTGGAGGTGAAAAAAGCCAAAAAGGAAACGACAACAGCTAAGTGTACTAACTCCATAAGTCCTTTGGTAGATGAAATGGGCGATAAGAAAGTTAAGGACAAAGCTGACAAGGAAGATAAAAAAACCTTAATTGTTGGAGATTCTCAGGTAAGGTACCTAGATCGAGTGTTCTGTAATAAAAAGATAAATAGTATGAAAGTGTGTTTGCCAGGAGCTGGGGTGGGTGATATATTAGACAGGAT